AGCTTCACATAACTATAAAAAGTCGAGCTCATTATTATAAAACTATAAATTTCTTTTTTCAAAAAACCAAAAAAAAAAGCATTATATATGGCGTCTTTGTTGATCATGAGCCTATTCATACGGTTTTCAGAAATTACAATAAGAAATTAGAACATGAAAAAATTTTCAGCCTATTATGATTCGTATACGCATTTAATCTAGATTGGACGAATTCATATTTGCCACGTTATATATAAAATTTTTTTTTAAAAAAATCCTCAAAATATTTCTTTTATTCTTTTTAATTATTAATTCTATTAATTACAACCACCGAAATGAAGTTAAAAGAAATTCCACGTACAGCTACTTTTGCCTGGAGCCCTGGACAGCATTTGCCTATAATAGCTACAGGAACTGTAGCTGGAGCTCTTGATGCTTCGTTCTCAAATACTACCGAATTAGAATTATTCCACCTTAATCTTAATAAATCTGATTCTGGTGTAGAATTACAAAGTGCCGGAGTTATTAATAGTAACGCGAGGTTTGTATCATTGAATAATGAATATAACTAATGACTCGCCTGAAAGTTTACATAGTTGTTTATCCTGAAGCTAAAATCTTATCTTGTTATATTGGTATAGATTCGATCGACTTGTATGGGGAGTTGCAAATGATAAATCATATGGTATTGTCGCTGGTGGTTTGGAAAATGGGGAATTAGATTTATATGATCCGGCAATAATTTTAGAGGGTGGAGAGTGAGTTAATTTTCATTTTTATAGAATTTAAGTATTAGATGTAAGAATGCTGAGTTTAATATGTTAAACATTAGTCCATATATTCATGTATTTATGAATATATTTTTATTTTTATAATGATAAAGTTCTGAAGAGGCACTTATTCTAAGAAATACTGCACATTCGGGAAATGTTCGTGGGTTACAATTTAACCCATTTCAAATTAATTTATTAGCATCAGCAGCAACCAATGCTGAGGTATTATGATATCATTATTTTAGCTATATTTTTAATTAAAGTACTATGTTTCTTTAATGAATTAATCATGCTGATTTTTACCTAGATATTTATTTGGGATTTAACGAAACCAGATAAACCATATACTCCAGGCACTAGGTCGCCAAAGCTTGAAGATATTACCCACTTAGCTTGGAATAACCAAGTACAGCACATTTTGGCAACCTCTTCAAACACGGGATCTACTGTAATATGGGATTTAAGAAGTAAAAAACACGTAATGGATTTATCATTTGGCGGTTCAACTGTAGCTGGAAATTATGGTATGGGAAACAACATGACTTCTGGAATTACAGGAGTTAGAAGAGGTACAACCGCAGTTGCTTGGAGCCCGGATAATGTAGGTTACCGCTTTTAAATCACATAATTTAAGCATATAAAGTTTATAATAATATTCTCTCAATTAACCAAAAGGCTACACAAGTTATAACCGCATCCGAGGATGATATGAATCCTGTGATTGTTATTTGGGACGTCCGTAACGCTCATGCTCCTGAAAAGGTATAATGAAATTATTACAAGTCTATTTGTTTTTAAATTTATTCATTATTGTTGATATAATTTATAGATCTTAACAGGCCACCAAAAGGGAGTTTTATCACTTTCTTGGTGTCAAAGGGATGCTGATTTGTTATTATCATGTGGCAAAGATAATAGAGTTTTGTGTTGGAATCCTAGAACTGCTGAAATAATAGGAGAGGTATTTATTCCTTTTAATGTTTCTCTTTAATAGAGCAATAATAACATTATTTTTAATTCTTATAGCTTCCTGCAAGTTCGAATTGGGTTTTTGACGTTCAATGGTGTCCCGGTAACCCCGATTTATTTGCTTCCGCATCTTTTGATGGCAAGGTATTAAATGTTTTAAGAGGCAATTAACTTTATTAATTTATTAAGAACTAATATTGTAAATTTATAAATTTAAAAGGTTAATGTACATTCGTTACAATCCGGTCAAAGTACAAATGGACAGCAAGGTTTATTAGATAGCAATGACCCATTTGCACAGATAGCATCATCATATGAACCTTCCCTCACACTTAAACAACCTCCAAAATGGCTTAAACGGCCTGTCGGAGTAACTTTTGGATTTGGTGGCAAATTAGTGTCGTTTAATAATAAAGTTGCCGTAGGTGCTGCTACTCAGTTAAGACGTATTGTTACTATTTCAACAGTAGTTACTGAACCCGAGATTGTTCAAAGATCAAATGAACTTGAATTTTCGATCGAATCAAAATCTTTAGATAGCTTTTGTGAAAGTCGAAGCAAAAGTGCGCCTAATGAATTGGAATCTGAAAATTGGAAAATACTTCACACAATGTTTAATGAAAATGAAAATGCAAGAGAACAATTAGTTAAACATCTTGGATTCTTAAAAGCTGATATAGTTACGCAAATTTCAAATGCAATAAAAAATATGAGTATTAACGGTTCTGTGAATATCGAAAAAAAAGCTGAACCCGAGAAAAAACAAGATAAGGTAAAACAAACAAGCGTTTCAGAGGCAGAAACTGTGCCTTTGCCTACCAGTCCTAAATCAGAAGAAGGCCACGGTACAGTGGATCAATCCGTTGTCAAATCTGAAAATATAGAAGAACTTTTTTCTGATCAATCTACAGCTGGTGGTGGTGGTCCTTCCGATGCTTCGGATTTCTTTAATTCCGAAATTATTTCTGATACTTTTCCTGTTCATAATCCCACCTCAACTTACAAAGCGCAAACAGTATCTTCATCTATTAAAGGAATTTTTAAAATATATCCGGCTCAAGAATCGGATGTGGATAAACTTATTACAAGATCTATTGTTCTTGGTGATTTTGAATCTGCTGTGAACTTGTGTATAGAGTCGGATCGATTATCGGACGCTGTCCTTTTAGCTGGTTGTGGTGGTAACGAACTTTTACAACGTACCAGAAACGTATATTTTGAAAGAAAGTCTTCTAATATTCCTTATTTGCGTTTACTTCAAAGTATTGTATCTGAGGATTTATCGGACATTGTATATAATGCAGATTTATCTGAATGGCAAGAAATAGTAGTCGTTCTTTGTACGTTTGCCCGTTCTGAAGACTTTGGCGAATTATGTAATGCGTTAGGGCAAAGACTTGAACAAGAATCTGAAGCTTGTTTAAATGATAAGCCAAAAGGAGCGGAATTTCGGAAAAATGCAGTATTATGTTACCTTGCGGCAGGAAATCTTGAAAATGTTGTTAAAATTTGGATTGCCGAGCAGGAAGAGGAGGAGCAAGTTGAACTAAAACTTGCTGATCAGGATGATACTAAATCTTCTAGTTCTAGATATTCATTCCATGCCAAAACTCTTCAAAGTCTCATTGAAAAGGTTACTGTGTTCCGCAAGGCTATAGATTATGTTGATCCTGATTTGGTTCAGAATTTGGACGCTAGTGTCACAGAAACAAATAATAAAATGTTTAAATTGGCTAATTTATATGACAAATATGCTGAGTATGCTGAGATTTTAATCGCTCAGGGTAGACTGGCAACTGCTCTTAAATATTTGAATCTAACGCCATTGGAATACAGGCAAATGGATGTGAATGGTGTTGATCCGTTAGCTGCGATCAGAGAAAGGTTATATCATTCAGGAGTTGACGTTAGTGGTATTAAGGTACCACCTGCGTTCCCATTTGTAGCCAATCCTCCACACCAACTTCAACAACCAATTCAACAACCAATTCAACAACCAATTCAACAACCAATTCAACAACCAATTCAACAACCAATTCAACAACCATATCAACAACAAATTCAACAACCATATCAACAACCATATCAACAACAAATTCAACAACCATATCAACAACAAATTCAACAACCATATCAACCACCAATTCAACCACCAGTTCAACCACCCCAAAACTTACTATATAATCAATATGCATATAATGCTCCAATTCAACCTCCAATTCAACCTCCAATTCAACAACCCCAGAAATCACCATTTAATCAATATGTATATAATGCTCCAAACCAGAACCAAACAGGTTATCCTTACCCGCAGCCCGCTTTTCCTGTTCATGAAAATGTAAATTTAATTCCACCTCCACCTCCACCAATTGCCAATACAAATCTTCAAAATACAAATCTTTCTCCACAAGATGTTTCAGCTGTATTTAAGAAGAATTTGCCTAATTGGAATGATCCGCCATCTGTATCATCAGCTCAGGCAGCAAAAAAGACTATTCAAGCACAAGCAAACAAGCCACTGCCAATCACAACTCCTTTCCCTTCATCAACTTCCCCTGCACCACAGGGAACAATACCACCACCTGGAGTTCACGGTCCAAATCAGAATATACAAGGAGCTACTAATTTGCAACCACCACCACCACCACCACCAGCAAATCGTGTAGCTCCTACAACTGCTGGGTATCAACCTAATTTCCAGATGTCTCCTCAGACAGCAGGAAATTATTATACACCACCACCACAACAATCAAGAGCGTCACCGCAATCACATGCACGACAAATGCCGTATTACGGAGCTGACCGCTCAACTCCCACTCCACCTCAAGCTGTTGGATATGGAGATCAACAAACCCCAGTTGTACAACCCGCCAGAACACCTACTCCAGCGAAGACGCCTACGCCCGTAAATAAACATCGTAAGTTTATTTTGAAGTTTTTTTTTTTTTTTTTTTTATACATCATTACCATATTAGATAATTTTTATTTCAAATAAATTTAGCTGTTGGTGATAGAACTCATATTCCAGTTACACATAAACCAATTTACGATGTACTCTCTCGTGAATTACAAAGAACTAAACAATATTATAATGCTGTATGTTAAATGTAATTTTAGGATTTTTAATGGTTTGCGTGATAATATATTTTTTTAATAACCATAATTTGTAATTGAAGGGATTACAATCTAAACAATTGGTTGACACAGAAAAACGACTTAATGCGCTATTTGACCAATTGAATAACGAAGAAATTTCAAATCAAATAATCGTGGATATTTTAAAATTAGTTCAAGGTTTGATTGATATAATATAATAATGACAATTTATGCTTTAATAATAATAATCATAACAATTATTATTATTTTAGAAATAGAAAAACGCGATTATGTTACTGCACAAAATACTTTAGTTAGTATAATGACTTCATATTCCAGTGAATCAAGATGGTAAGCACCAATTTATTTATTTTATTTATTCTAAAACTCTGTCTAACGAGTTTTATCGAATTTACAGGCTAGTTGGTATTAAACAATTATTGACGTTGAGTAAAAACGTACAATAAGTTATTTAACATCAAATTTCAAATTTAAAATTTCAAAATTATGATGTTTAATAAATAATAATAATTGGTTTAAAAGTCATGATTGAGTTTTTTGTTAAAATTAATTAATATGATACTATTACAAAAAAAAAAAATCAAAACACTTTTGGTTTATACATTAATTTATATTTGGTGTGATGTTATATTGATTGAGAATGTAAAAATAAATAAATATTAATGAAAATAAAATTATTAAAAATCTTTGTTCGTACAAAAAAATTTTTTTTTTTATTAAAAAATTAAAGCAAATTCATTTTCTTAACAATTATATATTGATTTTAATGGTTCATTATTTTAATAAAAAAAAAAATATATATATAAAAAAGGAAAAAAACAGGAAAGGTACAATAAAAAGGTAAAAAAAAAAAAAATTATATAAAGAGCAATAATAATAATAATTAATCTTCGGAGGGAACGTCAACCCATCACACATCAAAAAAAAAGAGCAATATAGAAATCATTGCTCGTTAAGGAATTAGTTATTTAACCCTTATAATAACTAATTGGTATTAAAATAGCAAGAGAATTACCCAAGAAGTTATGCATCTCCAAAAGTATTTTCACCAGAGTATCTGTTGAGATAAAACTCACAAAGATTAGTTATTTGTAAGATGGTGCTGCGGCTCAATGATCGATAAATAATGACTTACGTTATGTATAGGAACCCGTCTTCGTCCTTATGCTCTTCATAAATACTTGACATAAGAGCAGCTGTAGGAGGAAGAACTTCGTCCACAAAAATAAAGATCGCTTTCTCGGGGCTCAATTTAATACGTTTACGAATAACATATACAAATTGGCCTACGGTAAGATCAGCTGGTACGAGGTACTTCTTTTTATCGATTGTGGCAATGTCGGACTTTTCAACTTTTTCACAGATAACCTGATTTAAAAGAAAATTACATTTATTAAATATAAATGTATCAAAAATTTTTGAAGCATTTTTTTTATTTTATTGTAATTTGTCTGCAATTTCTTTTGCACTAGCTAAAAACAAATGCTTACTGGAATTCTGTCAGGATATTTTTGTCGAATCCTTTCCGCTTCAGCCTTACGTTTTTCTATTCAAAAAAGAAAAAAAAAAGTAAATAGACATTTTCATTTTCAAGATTAATGGGAAATTTATTTAAAATACTTACCAAAGGGATGTTCATCCTTAAATTTTGACCTCATATTTGTTAATTTTTTGTTTTAATAATAATATGTGTATGAACAGTAAAGAAAAGGACTGAAAAAAAAAAAGTGTAGGAAAAAAAAAAGTGGTGGTATTTTTAGGGGGGGTAAATGATTATAAGGTATTTTTATAGAGAAAGACAAATAAGTTCCAGATTGAGATAATAAATGATTGGATGAATCGGATATACCGCAGTTTTGTTTTTTTATGATCTTCGTTCACGTAATTATCATCAAATCAAGTAATACAAGCTTGCGTAATCCTCCATATTTCTTTTTGCTTTCTTCGTAAACAAAGTCTTATGACTAATAAATTATGACTCATGAAGTTACCCGATTCACTGCGGTAAACAAATTCTGCGGATTATATCATCGCACATTCAAAAAACGTGATCCGCAAATTTTCGAGTTGGAAAAGTTCATTATTTTAAAAAGTTCATTCATTATAAATTATTCATTCGAAATATTTATCATATGATATACTGTATCTTTCATTAACCATTTAAAATGACTAACCAACTGTATACTCATTATAAAATAAAAGTTTCTTTAAAATATTTATTAAAATATATATAATTTTGTGTTTTAATGGTTTAATTACTGTGCAAATCGTAAACAAGTAAAAGAAAGTGCGCATGACAAAAAAAAAAGTAAATTAAAAAAAAAAAAATTTAAATTAATCAAAATTCTCATACCTATTAAAAGATTAATTTTTTTTTTTATAACTTCAACGGGCACGTTTTCTTTTCCTACCACGCAATTCAGATAAAGACGACGATGATGAACTTCTTCTTGATCTAGATGATACACTTGAAGAACTTGAACCACTACCACTATCTGAGCTAAAACTTGATGATGATGCTGAAGTATCACTATCACTATCGCTAAGGGAATCTGAAGATGAGCTACCTGAATCTTCAGAAGACGATGATGATCTTTGAAATCAAGTATTGATTTTAATATTATTTTACATATACATTTTTTTTTAAAAAAAAAAAAAAATCGCAAATTAACGTACTCATCCTTGCGAAGTCTTTTCTTTTTTCTTTCCTTTTCCTTTTCCTTCTCTTTTTCCTTCTCTTTTTCCATTTCCATTTCTTTTTCTAATAAGGCTTTTTCTGTAAGTTCCTTCCTATTCAGTTAATAAATTATTAAAATTAATAAATTTACATAATTAAATATTCATCATAAAAATTTATTTTATTTACTTTGTTTTAAAATCATCCGGAAGTTCAATTGATATCGGTTTTAAAGGTTTTGTGAGCTGTTGTGTTCTTGTTGGTCGAGCACTATATGCTCGTTTGTTTTTACATTCATATGTCTAAGTTTAGAAATAAAATTAGTAAAAATAAAAATTTTATACAAGCAACACCCAAAATCTACAAACACTTACCCAATGTCCTGTTTCTAAGCATTTTTGACACTTTGTGTTAGGCGATGGCTTTGATCCCGTACTCGGATACCTTTTTAACAAATCAAGCAATTAATAAAATTTCATTACTTGTGTAATAGCTTTTGATTTAAGACCTTACCTACGTCCGGAAAATCCAGATTTATTCATAACTTTTAGTTTCTATACCTACAAAATAGATGATAAGAAACTTAAAAAGTGATTTATTTGTTTACAAGTTTCGTAATATGAATATTGTGATTCATATTAAAAATTTTCAACTATCCAATCACATTTGCTTAAATTATGATAACCTCTAATCCCCCAGATTTTTTTTTTTTTTTTTTTTTTGATTAAAACAAACAAGTTGGGGTTAATTACATTATTTACCTTTTTAAGAATTGATCTATAAAAAAAAAAATTAATTTTATATATTATTGTAATATTGTAAAAAAATAATGTTTATTATTAATATTTTTTAGATTTCTTTTATTAAGTAATATTAGTAATATTAAAAAATTTAAAAATATTATAAATTATTAAATTTAATAAGTAAAATAAAATACAAAAAAAATTATTATTATACAAGTAATAAAATAAAAATTAAACATACTTATTAGTAATAATATTAAATAAATTTTAGATAAGAAAAAAAATATTAATATTTGTATTAAGTATTTTATTTAAGAATATATATAGGTGCTTTGCAGTAGAAAGGGAGTAAATTACTAAAAAAAATTTTTTGAGTTAATGTTAAATCTGGATTTATTTTATTAAAAAAATAATATTTAACTTATAAAATAAAAAAAAATTTTTTTTGTAGTTTCTTTCCTTTTCTACTGCAAAGTATCCATATATAGTTGAACAATTTAAAATAAAAATAAATTAAATTTATTATTAAATTTAATAATTAAATCTTTAACTACTATTATAGATAATAAAAAAAAATTAATTAAATATAAGGTTAAATAAATAAATTAGTTAGTTTTTTATCATTATTCAGATTATGTAAAATATCATGAATCATACACTGGATGAGTATAATAACTTTGATTTAAAAAAAGTTTTTTTTTTATATATATTTATATATTTAGCATTGAATCAAAATTATATTATACATATATTATTATTATATTATTTATATACTTAGCAATAAATTATTATTAATATATCAAAAAAAAAAAATAAATCTCAATTTTTTTTTGTTCTTTTCCCTTTTCATTCATTAGATTAAATATTATTTAATGAAAATTTCAATTTTCTACCTATTTTAATTAATACATTTAGATATTTAATATATATTTTACAATAAAAATATTATTTTCAGATATATTAAGATCTATTAAATATATAAATATAGCTTTATATAATTACATTATTAAATAGTTTTGAGAATATAATTGTAAAAAGAGCTAATTAGTGTTATCAAAAAAAATTTTAAAATAATGCAATTATACAGTAATTTTATAATAAAATTCTTAGATTTTGAAATATTGTTTATGATTATTTTAAAAAATTTTATTAAATTGCAAAAAATTTTTTCTATTACATTAATTTTAGTATTTTTAAAATGATTTTTTTTAATAATAAAATAGATTATATTTTAAAAAGTAAAATTTTTTTGTATTACTTTATAAATTTTTACTTTTAACTTAATATTAACAATATTAATATTTTATTTATAATTGAAAAGTTTAGTATAAAATAAATTCAGATACTTTTATAGTAAAAGTTAAAAGTTAAAAATTAATGAATAAGCTAAAAATTTTAAAAATATTTAATATTATATCAGCTTTATTAATTAAAGATAATAATATATTAGAATAAGAATTTAATATATCAGTATTAGAAATATCTATAATAGATTTTAATATAGATAATAATAATAATACAAGTCTAAATATTAATAAAAATATATAAAATGTTGATAAATAATATCTAGATAGATTAATATATTAAAAGATAAATAAAGTAATACTAATGAATTAAAAGATAATAGTGATAATAGTGATAATAACGATAATAATAAATAGAATATAATATTAATGTAATAATATTTTTAATTTATCACATTTAATAAAAACAAAAATGCTAAAAAGAGATTTCAAAATATTTTTATTAAAAATTTAGGTGAACCTAATTATTTATTTGATTTTAAATAATAATAATAAATGAAAAAATTATATAATAATTATAAAATTATAT